AAAAAAAAAAAAAAAAAAAAAAAAAAAAAAAAAAAAAGATAGATAGTTCGGACAAACTGCTATCTTCTCTGCTTTCAGTGAAGCCTGGTATTGCTAGTGCTTTAAGTGTAAGTTAATGTTCAGTTATAATGTCAAACTGAAAAATTACAAATGACATAAATGCATCTAGCTGTGCTTCTGGAATGCACCAGATGTTTCTTAACAGTTTGGCATCCAACTTTCACGTCTGGTGACATATTGATAGCTGATTTGTACTGAAAGCAGAACCAAAACTACTATGCTGAGTTTTAGCCATTCTAAAAATATTTGTATGTTCTGTTCCTCTTTTAATCTTAGATTGATGGACTGAGGAATAGTGAATTGAACCCAGTTTTGGATGCTACATCTGAACTTAAGCTAGTTGATTCAGTTGACTTAAGAAAAACTTTAGGGTGATTGATTTTTCAAGGCAGCATTTTTCTCAGGATTTCTGTATCAAATTGTATTTTGAACTGGTTTTAAATATTTTAAAACTTTCAAGTTAAACTACCAGTTGGACAAAATGCATAGAAATGTCTTCCAGTGATCACTTCAGGAGTTTTCTTTCTCTTTATACTTGGAATGGAGAGACTTCTATGCAAATATTACTTGGTCCAGGGTACTCCCCCCCCCCAAATTTGGCAAAAATCATAACTTTAATGAGAACATTGTTGTGGTAGTACTTGGTGCACAACTGTCTAGTGAAACTTTCTGGAAATTTAAATCAATTGCCTTTATATGTTTCTGCTTTTAAGGTAGATATTAATAGAAGTCTGAAAGTCTTTTTAAGAAAGCTGGGTGCTCTTGAGAATTTAACTTCTCACTATTTTCACTTCAGCTGCTACAGATTCATCATAACCTGGATTTTTACCTCCTTGGAAACAGTATAGCTCTTACCATAGAAAAGTTACAGAAAATGAAAAAAAACCAACAAAAAACCAAAACCAAAAAACCCCCACCTCCACAGGATTAAGTCTCTAACTGTTTTTTAAAATTATGGCTAATTAGCTGTACAACTGTTAGAATGCCCTAAGAACTGTCCTTTTCCATCTTTCTTTTTCATAGTGTAAAAAAAGAAATCTGTGTGCAACAAGCACCTCTTAGGTACCTTTGAGGCCCTCAAAGGGAATCTGGTTTGCTCTATAGCATTTTCAGATTTGCTTAACAAGTGTAAGGAAACTGGATGCATGACTTCTCTCCTTACCTCCTACAGTGGGAAATCTACTAGGTCTGTGTATGAACTTGGATGACAGCTATCTCTTAAAAATAAGAGTTTACATATATTGGCATATATATTTTTGCTGTGCTCAGGGTACAGTAACAACGTTGTCTCGACCTCCATGAATAGAGAACTAGATGATAATCAGAGATGTGAGAAAATGGAAGACAACTTGATTCTGAGAAGGCAGTTAGATGTGGTACTGAGGTGAAGCAATTCCAAGAGAGATGCATTTTTCTTGGCTCTTTGTTTTTCATTTCTACTGTTCCCACAATGGACAATTTCAGTCATTCTCAGTGTTTGGGTTTTTAATGAATAGAAAATGGCATCAGTGAAAAATGTAGGTAATATGTTGTGCAAATGCTATGTGCCTGAGCTAGGATCACTATTTTTTACTGTTCTGTTGCATTTGCTGGGGTGTGTTCATCATGTCTGGGCTAAAGCTTTAGCTGGGGCCTTTTAAGATGTTTAGAAACTTTGGGTGTCTAAGGAGTATTTTAACTTTCTTCATTCACTATAAGGTGATGCACCTTTAAGTGTAACTGGTTTTCCTGTCCTAAAACCTCCTACAGCATTACCTTTTTGAACACTACAGGGCATCATAAGTTTTATTTCTACTTCTTGCTGCAGCTCTAGCTCTAATATACTGAAAGAAGTATAAAGATTTCACTGCATGTACTCTAACAGAGACTACTATGCATCTTTAAAGATAAACTGAAGTTGCCATAAGAACTGTGATTTAGTTTTGCTTAAGCTATGCACCACAGTAATGCAGCTTTCCTTTTACCCTTGATCAAGTGTACAATGTCATATGCACTGTTGCGAGGTTCTGTCAGCCTTCAGTGCACAGACCTGAGTACTGCCATCAATTGGGTGGTGTGGCCTGCACCCGGAACCCATCTCACTGTCATGTTACAATTGTCTGTATAACTTAGGCAGTTCTACATGGATAGTATGTTAATAAAGTTATTGTAAAGCGCATGATGAAAGTAGGTCAGATTCTTGCCTAATGCTAATGTAAGATATTACATTGTTTGAGATGTTAGCAATACCAGTAGAAAGTGCTTCTATGATTAACTGTACTAAGGTAGCTGCTTGTTCTTTTGTTCCCATTTCTAGATTGAACTTTAACAACCTATAGGGTAGGCAAAATAAGGGGAAGAAGGCTTGCTTCTGTAAGTCTGGAGCTTGTGGATGTTTTGCCAAAATTAAAAAGGGGAATAGTGCCCACAGCAGCTGACAAGTATAAACTATAGGAAAAGCTGTGTAAACACAAAAGTTATTTATCTTATGGAACCTGAAGGTAGTAAGTCTTTCAGGATAACTATTAAATAATAATTTAAAAATAAGAAGGCAAGAAACTGAACTCCTTCAGCTAGTCTTACCTAGGACATTTTACCTAGCTTCTTTCTTGTCAAACAGATAACCTCTTCATTAAAACACTAAAGTGACTACAGTTGACTTTTATTTCCTGGCCTTATCTGAAATAGGATAATACTGACCAGCGTAGTTACAGTGTAGCTGGTTGGGTTTCAAGTTTCAATTTCTATTCAGCAGTTTCCAGACAAATGAGCTTGCTCTGGCTTCACTGAAGCCAAAGCAGGGCTCCTATTCATAAGCTCATTGCTTACTTTGGATTAGGTATGAAATAAATAATATGAATAATGTTGTTCTTTCATTTGTCCACTTAACTATGTAATGGATTTGGTTTTATGTAGGAACAAGTGTCAGAACAGACAATAATTTATTTGCTTCTCTAACTTATGGGAGATAAAAAAACACTTCAGCAAAAGACCATTTTTTTCCCCTGTCATTTCACAGTAGATCATGCAAGAACTGCGTTTAAGCCATTTCAGAATAGTTAACATTTCTTTCATTTGAGGGTGACATCATGATTCCTTTTTCCAGGGACTTCTGTGGGAAAAACATCACCATTTCTAGGTTGTTGGATATCACCATCTGCTTGCTTTCTCTACCACATTAGCTGTAGCACTGAGAATGGAGACAGTAAAACCCATATTATTATCTGTTGGCTTGGCATACTGATTTATCTTTTGGTCGTGTATGCAGGGTGAGGAAGGGGCATGTGGTGCAGGGGCAGGACAGGTCCTTTGCACTCTCCTGATGGTCTGTGTTGTGAATTTGTTGAAACTGAGGCAGAAACTTCAAGGGAGGTTTGGGAAGGGTGTAAAGATCAAGACCTGCTTGATATTCCTTCATAGTCTAACCCTAGGTAGACTCAATCTTACTCCACTATTAAAATGAAACCCTATTCTTTTCTATGTTTTCTTCCTAAATAATGTTAGTATAAAGTGTGCTGCTTCAATTACACATCCTGAAGATATGCAATTTGTAAACAAGATCAGAGCCTGGAAAAAGGCAGAATTTCTTACCAATAAAGTCTCTCTAGTGTTGAAACAAGGGAGGTAAGAAGCTCTGTATATCTTCAGTGAGTACTGGAGTCTCTAATGTGACAGTGGAAACCTGTAGATTTAGTCTTAATTTTATTTTGGAGCAAAGCATTTCTGCTGACAAAATCATGATGTTACTTTGTAAAATAAACCATTTGCATAGGGAATGTTATTTTTTGAGTAATAAATCCTGTGATTGTTGTCACCCATCACTGAAGTTGCTTTTTCCAACAGGTTCCCATGCCTGAACTACTAGTCCCTGGTGCACTATGAGTACTACTATGATCCTTGTGCCAAAGTCATGAATTGCTTTCCTTCCTGATTAGAAACTAAACAAATGTCTGAAGTTACCTATTGCAGATATGCTTGAGCACTTAATAGTTCATCACAGGCTGTTCATAATCATAGAATCATTTAGGTTGGAATAGACCTTTAAGATCAAGTCCACCCATAAACCTAACACTGCCAAGTCCCACTAAATCATGTCCCTAAGCACCATATCTACATGTCTCTTAAATACCTTCAGGGATGCTGACTCAACCACTTCCCTGGCAAACCTGTTCCAATGCTTCATAACCCTTTTAGTGAATAAATTTTTCCTAATACCCAATCTAAACCTCCTCTTGTGCAATTTAAGGTTGTTTCCTCTTGTCCTATCACTTGTTACTTGGGAGAGGAGACCAGCACTCACCTTGCTGCAACTCCTTTCAGGTAGTTGTAGAGAGTGTCTAATGTATGCAGTAGTTCTTTGTTGACTCTATGGTGGGTTTTTTTCTGTCTTTATTTAAAAATGAGCTAAGATGTTCAGTGATCAGTGTGCAGTCATCATTGTCCCCCTGCCCCTCCCCATGGAACTCTGGTTTTGGCAGTGTTTACCAATGGGAGTTTATAACAGAATGTGGAGGGAGACAAAAAAACCTCAGTGTGAGTGAGTAGAAGTGCTAAACTGATAGCTCAGTGTCACCTTGGGTTGTAGTGATGAGCAGCCAGGTGAGGCTGGCTGCAGTAACTAGATGATGGCATGTCTCATACTGCTTGGGAGTCTGCTGTATGACTGATGGACAGGAGCTGAATGCAACCATTTTTCATATTTATCAAGTAGTTTGAGCTGATAAATTTATAAGAATTAAGATCACCGATTTTTTGGGGTTGAGTTAGATCTGATGGAGAGCTGATTCTGTCACCTGGTCTCTCAAGGCAGTTGTTTTGTTGTGGGTTCTTTTTTTAACTCTTGGACTTCTGGTTTAGATCTGCAATGTGTGGAGAAACAACTTTGTTGTAGAAACTGCTCTGTCCTGTTTGTGTGCTCTTACAGGTTTTGTCTTATACAGGTTCATCTATGTGAGTATGCCAAGGTAGTATGCCATGGAGGGAATGCTGGGAAGGTGCAGAAGAGGACATGAGGAAATTTTGATGAAAATCATAAAAGGTAGCTGGAGGAAAAATTCACTTTAGTATCAGATAATCTGAATAACAAAGCTACAGTTCTGTGCTTACAAACTAGACTGCATGTTATGATGAATTGGAAGAGTATGTTATGCTCTAAACTTTCAAAAAGCTGAAAATAAGCTGCTGCTTGTGTCTGATGTGATTGATTACAATGGTTATGATGTGTATAAACACAACTTTCAAATTCTTTAGGGTTTATTATTAAACTAGTATGGTCTAAAATATTTTGCAATTATTCTCACTTTCCTGCTGGCTTTCTTGAAGGTATATCTTCTTTCCATAAACTGATAGACTTTCAACTTCTCTCCCATCCAGCTGCATGTGTGCTGAGGAGGCAGAACTGTAGCTGAAAGCAAATCAGATGGTGAAATAGTGATAAAAACATGTAATTTACAGTCAGTCCAGTGAGGCTGAGGTACTAGACTAAAGATTCATTTTCTGTGGAAAGTGAGAACTATTGCCCCTAACTCTCCTTGGATATTTTCTCTCTTCTTTGCTTTTCTCTTTCTAATAACATTCTGAACAGTAGAAGAAACTGACTTTGGTACTCATTTGACTAGAACTGTATAATAAAGCCCTGAACAAATTTGTCTGTGCCTTTTCTGGAGCAGACTGGCTAAACAGAGATGATATGTTTCTGTGTACCTAAGGTATGGTTTATGCAAAGGTTATCCACAGCAGCAGCTTGCTTTGGTGTTGGTTTCAGCAAGCAAGAAAATAACTGTGTGCACAATGTGTCTCTAACATTGTCACTGAAAACAGAATTGCTTGTCACTCTTCAGAGTAAGATGGAATATTCAGGGGGTGATATTGGACCTTATGTTTTCATTGTATAATTTGCCAAGGAGAAAAGTATGTGTGTGTGGAGAGGGTTTGAGAAAGTGCTTATCTGTGGCATCTGAGTGAAATTATGAACAATATAATAACTATGGAAATCAGCTGGAATTTCATAAGCAGCTAAACTATGACCATCTAGGGCATGCTGAATGAAAAGGGTGTATCTAAAGTAGAACATGCTAAAGTGAGGAATGTCCATACAGTCTGGCATGAAGCCAAGTGCATACTGAGTTAGGTCACTGCTTTAAGTGTGAAAGTTTCCCTCTTTAGAAAGACATACTCATCCTGTGCAACAAGGAACCAAAACAGAATGCTAATATAATAAAACCAAACTTAAATACATTTTCAATTAGCATGCTGGTCTATTCCTATGTGCTTAGGGAATCAATGAGCTCCTTTTGTAAGGAACAGAAACACTTCCATAGTTGAATATACATAAGGCCCTGGAAATGCAGAAAGAATAACAACCAGTTGCTTTTGGAAAACTTTCAAATCTTCATAAGCTTTGTATAAGCCTCACATGTCTCATTCTTTGGAGATTATAGCAAGTATTGCAAATAGACTTGTTTCAAAGAACTGAAATGAAGTGAAATATCAGAATGTGCAATTTAAAGATTTGGAACTTAATCTTTCAACACTGAAATGCTGATCCCAGGGACTTCTTCATGATTACTTATTTCCAGGCAATCTTGTTGTTCTTTTTATAAAGTTCAGAACGTATCATGTGACACTGAATTAATTTTCCTATTGTGATTCTTGGGATCCTGTGTGCTTTTGCTAATTCTAGGGCTTCACAGCCTACTTTCTTTTGCAGTCATCTTCTACAGTCTGGGAGTAGTTACTGGAATTACTAAAATAGTGCTGTGCCAAACCTAATACATATCAAATTTAGGTTGTAAATATGCAAAACTAGTGCTTTCCTGAAAAGAGCATAGTGAGATAGAGGGCTTGTAAACCCTTCATTTCTGATGGGATGAGAATTAAGATTCTTACTGGCTTCATTCACTTCTTGAAGGATGCAAGATGAAATCTGTAGTTGACTCCTTTCTGATGACTCTTCTCAGCAGAAGTAATATGGGAAAAAAGAGATATGTTCTGATTGGCTCAGTCCCCACTGCTTTAGCAAACTAACTTAGCTCTTCAGCTCTCCATGTGGAATTTAAAATGTTAATGTTTAACATAACTGGTTGCACAAACATTCCTTGCCTTTAAAGGCCACAGGGAAGCTGTAGTGGGAAAAAATACCCTTTTTTCTGGTGTCACATAAAAACTGTTGAAGATAAATAGTCAAGGCCTATCTCTCTGCTGAAAGGCTGCTTTGTTAATAAGATTGTCACTAGCTCACTGGAAAAAGGTTTCAACTAATCAGGGAATAATTAGAGCCTAGAAGGAAAAGAACCAGGGACCTCTCTGCACCCCACCATGTGTGGTTTCTATTGCTTCAGAAGTGGCTTATTGTTTCCCTCCCCTAAACACCCATTAAGGCAGTGCTCCACAAAACAGCCGTCTAGCGTAAATAGGTGAAGTGCCAGCAGGAAGGCTCAAAAATCTACAGTTATTCATAATATTTTGCTCTTGCAATGGTCATGCAATGCAAGTGCCGAGTCCCTGTGGAGGCGTGTTGGCTTTCTTAATTCATGTTTACCATAACAATGTACATTTGGCCACAGTTAAAGTTAAGAACAGACTTGTTCTTTCACTGCTCCCTGCTGTTATCTGGGGGAATCTTGATCTCCCAGTACATTGTGTCCTCTTGACACCACATCAGGAAATCTGTTGTCTGAGACCTACAGAAATTTAGTGACTCATCGAAGTTGAACATAGTGCAATTTATTGGTAGATCAAGAATTGAATAAAGGCCTACTAGGCTAATGTCCCCGCTTCAGGGGTGTCTATTGCTTAACAACAGTTACTGATTGTTTAAAGCTCAAGGTGCAAAAACTTTATGTGACTTAGGTGGCTTAAAGTTAGAGATGCAGTGATTAACCAAATCTGGCCATGGTTTGCAGCGTCCTGCACTGCCCATTGACAGACTGTACCATGGTAGCCCAAATAATCTCTTAAGACAGTATTAACTAGAAATATTAGCTCCTGCTTTCTAGTATATGCTTTCATTTTCTTTAATTGTCCTGTGAAAGTGAGAAAGATAAAGGAAAAACACAAAGCTCTGTTCTTCATGTCCTGCTGATCTGTAAGACTCAGCCTTGTTTCCTACCCTGTCGCCAGTACCAAAAGCATTTCTTCATAACTTGAAAAGCTGATTTCTGTAGTGGTACAGTAGCTGTGTTTGTGTATACAGTGATGCAAAACCACTGCTGATCTTGACAACAGTAATCATGCTGTGCAGTGAAAAATAGTTGGGGCTGGATTTGTCCATTTATGCAAATCAGGTAGTTTGATCATTTTTCAGTATGCCTTGACTGGTCCAAGATGTGCCAGCTTCTGCATGGAGTGGCTTTAGTACAGTCTAGTATATATCTAGGTTTAAAGAAACATATGGTTCTTTGTTATTAATCATGACTTTACCTCTTGCTGTCTAACAACAAGAATTCAGGAAGAAATGTGAAAAAACATCATAGAGGACAGTTTGCACTAAAGAAAACTTGGGATGATCATTTCTGTGAACTGTTTTTATCCTGTAGATTGCTTTTTCTTCAGTCTTCCTCGATTTACCACATCTGGACCCTGGTCAATAGTCTGAGGATACAGCTGGTGTTGATCACTCTTTATAGATGTTTAACTTGCATTTATACAACATTGTGTTTGTGCAGTGAACAGTGACTAAATTCTATCTTATTTGGATCTTAAAAGGATGTAATCTAGAATTCAGTTGATAAAACTTACTTAGTTTGTACCAGTGTCCAGTAGCTTTACATGAGTAAAGTTTCAGATAACTATTGCCTTTAAGCTTTGCTGTATTAAAAATTTCTATGTAATGGCTCTGATTTATTCATGAACAGCACTAGAAATACTAATAACTGCTTCAAGCAGTCCTGTAGGCTTCAGCTGGACAACTCCAAGGTGTTCAGCTCTTTCAAACTTAGTGTGACATGCATGCAAACTTTGGATCAGCTATTGGCAGGCATTGGTGTTGGTGGTATGAATAATTTACTTCATCTTTCAGGCCTTGTTATTGGAGCTTTCTTGAAAGTGAGGATGCTGAATATCATGGTACCACTGATACATGGTACCTGATTCTCACTAAAGCAATATCCTGATGCTGGAAGCCGAATGGAAAGGGAGAAATATTGCAAGGTGTTTGTTGTAAACACATGGAGTTCATTGTGGCACTGTGTCTTATTTGCAAGGACAGAAGAGGATGGGTTTTGTGACTGCTGGCAGTGTTAGATAACAATCTGTCCAACCCATATAAAAGAGAATTGGAGTGGGAAATTTTTTTCTAGGCTTATAAACATACTGAAACTAAACTGAAGTTACTCAAGTCCCAGAACTTGGACAAATTATTATTGGACAAATAATAATTGTCCAACACAGTCAAAATGGATGTAGAGCTAATAGATTTTGGGATAAATCTTAATGAGCTTCATTTATTTTGCACAACCAGTTTTACATGAAAGTATTTTATTGATGTTAGAAAGTAGACTAACATGCATTGAACTTACTACTTAGCTCTTTATGCTGTCATTGAAGAGGCCTATAAACTGTTTAGCTGACTGTTGCTGAGTAGGATTTTTGGTATCTCCTTCTTGCATAACAGTGGTCTTTCTGCACGGTCTATACTTCCAAGACAGTTTAGTCAGTGGTTTAAGAGGGTGACCCAAGCAAACGATCAATGCCTCTTCATGCTAGCCTAATCAAATCAAGAGGTGAAGATGTTAGTGAATAGATAGTCTGGGGCGCCCCATGAATTTGAATTTCTGTTGAATTTGACCTGTTCTGAAATGCTGTTTCTGTGCACTTTGATATTTAAAGCTGTAATACTTTATTCATGAGTGAATAATTATTCCCTAAAATATCAAGTCAAAGCAAATGGAAACACAAGCTGCTGCTGCTGCTTCAAAGTAGTTCTTGGAATTTTTTTTACTTTAGAGAAGTAGGAAGGGCATGGGTTTTGTTGGTGTTTTTTTCCTCCCATAGAGGAAGGCAAAACAAAAAAAACCCAAGAAGGAATGGGGGAGTTAAACCCAATAAAACTTGATGAGAGTAGAAGAACCCTTACTGCTTTAGCCAGCTATGTGAAAAATGTATTTCATTAGACTGTCCATATTACTATTTCCCAGACACTGTGTCAAAGGGAATCACTGGTGGGTAATGCAATGGAAATAATGTTTTCTAATTCTCCTTTTCCCACCCCTTCCCACAGACATCTTTTGCATCCATGCGTTACAGCTTTGTTCATGTGTTTTTCAAATGACTGGCTGCTTTGTAGTTCTAATATGCACCTTTCCTTTAATTTTAGGTTCTGTCTTCATTTTGCTGACTCAAACCACAGATTCCAAGGAAAGGAGGGGAAGTGGAATAAAATACTCAAGTGCCAGAGGAAAAGCCAGGCTAGTGAATGCAAATGACTGTTACTAAACTGTAGATGGCTCTCGCATAGTGGGAGAATAAATTGATATTCCTTCAAAGGTTATAGAATTACTTTCACAGACTTTCCTTACTGAACTTCAAACAGGCTAAAACCCTTCAACTACAGTTGAATTAGGAAATGGGACCTCCATCTCCCTCCTGCTCTGCAGGGCTTCTTGTTTGGGGTAGGAAATACTGAATAAATTGAATGGCATCAACCAAACTTACAGTTGATGGTTATGGATAATACAAGAACCTCAGATTTGTCTTTGCAATGACACCCAATTAAGACAAAGGTTGGAAATTGCTCGCCAGCTACTTTCTCAAAACTTGTAGTAACTATTACGGTCATGCTTTCTCTCTCTAAGATTTGAACTCTGGGGTGATGTTCCCTGGAAGGCACAAGCAGATAAGTCATCTTTTTGGACTGGAAACGGAAAAAATATGAGAATGCCCAGAAGAGGCTTAGTAATTCAAGCCAGGACTCGTTGGTTATTAGTGGGCCTTGCTTTACTGTTCAGTTTAGTCTTACTCATGTATTTGCTTGAGTGTGCTCCACAAACAGATGGTGATGGATCTCTACCCGGTGTCGTAGGTGAAAACATGGGTAAAGAATACTATCAAGCTCTCTTGCAGGAACAAGAAGAGCATTATCAAAACCGAGCTACCAGTCTGAAACGTCAGATTGCCCAGTTAAAGCAAGAGCTTCAGGAAATGAGTGATAAATTGAAATCCCTGCAGGAAAAAAAGAGCCCCAAGGTCAATGGTATGAACTCCCAGGGCACCAAAGAACAAGCATCCAATGATCTCCTAGAGTTTCTTCATTCCCAAATTGACAAAGCTGAGGTGAGCGTGGGGGCTAAACTGCCTAGTGAATATGGTGTCATTCCTTTTGAAAGCTTTACTTCCATGAAAGTGTTCCAGTTGGAGATGGGGCTCACTCGGCATCCAGAAGAGAAACCTGTTAGAAAGGATAAACGAGATGAATTGGTGGAAGTTATTGAGGCTGGCCTAGAGGTTATCAATAATCCAGATGAAGAAGATGGACAAGATGAAGATGATGGAGTAGGAGAGAGGCAGCTGTATAGTGAAAATGATTTCATAGAAGGTATGTTTATTAGATGCTTTCCAGCCCATTAACAACAGAATGTCACAACAGGCATTTACTGGTGTTTGTATTTTGGGGGATTTTACCTACTTGAATATAGTCTTGAACAGTAATTACACCATAAGAACCTTTCTTTCTAATGATGAGAATATTGTTGCTTCATTATCTTGTTTTGAGTAGGGAGCAAGAAATCCATTTCAGAAGGGCTTACCACTTACCACACACATTCAGAAGTGTATGGGGGAAGATGTATCCACTTAAAATACCCAGGCAATTCAAAAATAATTGTAGCTGAAGTCAGTGTAACACAAGAGCTTATGATACTAACTGGAAGACTTCCAGTGAAACTGGGGGAGGTGGAAGTGAGAAATTGATTAATTTCTCTTGTTCCAGCATAGTTAAACAATTCAATATGAAGCTACAGGATTTTTCTTAATCTCTATGCCACTTTTAGTTAATATTCAGGCTTTTGACTCTCTTAGAGGTGGCATACTCATATCAGAGGGAAAACTTTGGTAGACTAACATGTTCTGGTCATGTCAGCTGAAGAAGTTGGTGTCCTGAATAGTTATGGGGACCACTAAGCTGTTCAACCTTGAACTGTTCTCTTGTTCCCTCTTCAGTGCTCTCTCAGTGCTTTTAAGCTTAATTACAGAACACCTATTATTATAAAAACAAATATAGCAGTTATGCTTTCAACACCTAGTGACCCCTTTAAAAGATGTGTTAGTGATAATTCCTATAAAAGTTGGCATTCAAGGTACAGTGCAATGCTGATGAAGATAAGTATTCTCAAAAACTGCCCTAGTACCTCTTTTTTTTTGTGTTTACAGTATTAAAACCAATTCATTATACCATTAAGAAAAGAAAAATCAGAACAAAACAAAACAAAAGACCATGTTATAAGAGCATTACTGTAAAAGGGATTCTGGATCTCAGCAGTACTGATGTCTGCACTGTACATGTTGGAGAAAGGTACTGTTGGCCTTGAAATAATCAGTTCTTTCAGTCTAAGATGATGTAATTGGTCTGTAGTGCAAAAAGTCTCTGCTTTTAACAGCTACTGTGTTTAAAATTTAATGCAAGTACTCTTGGTTCCAGAAAGTGGGACAGGGTGTGGAATCCACTTGAACTGTGTTGGTCTAACACAGCCAAAAGTGTTAGGCTCTTTGTACACTTAAAACCATGTTATTTTGTCTGGAGGTAGTCATTCTTGCAGTCTTTTAATTATTTTTGGTTGGTTGTTTTTTTAAATATTAAGTCTGCAGCTGCTTTTCCTTTGCTGTTTTAGATAGTTCTTATACTCTATTAGATGGGGAGGTTTAACATTACTGAAATAGCTGTTTATTTTTCTTCCTGTACTGCCTTTAATGACTATAGACCTCCAGGAAAGCAAGTAGATTTAGGACCTCAGAATTGTCCTTCATACTTCTGCCTCTGGTTGCACCAGTATATTGATAATTGGCTTTGGAAATCAGATTAATTTCATTTTCCTGTAAAGGCAGTCTTTTCAAGCATAGGGTTACAGGAACTATAGAAAAAGAAAAGTATTTGTATGCTGTAGCTCATGTGATTGTGTTAGCAACTAGCTGTAGTGATATGTATCTCTGTCCTTTCAGACAGAAGTTGTGGGTTGTGGGGGTATTCTATGGTTTTGTATGTGCAAATATTAGACACTGGGCCAGCAAAAAAAGAGGCTACTTCTGAATATTAACAACTTTTTTTCCTATTGTTCCAAAATTTAGAGGTGAGAAATGGAACTAGCCAGTAGTGGTCCCTGCAGGTCCCTTGCCCTGCAATCCTGTGACTGGGCTCTAGTGTGCTACCTCTGTTGTCAGTTTGTGCATCCTTGTTTGATGGAAGTCCAGTTGGAAAGCTGATGCCCTTCTAATTAGAAAATACTGTTCCCTTAAGCTATCATAAACTGATGGATTCAAGTTTCATAGTGAATTTGGTGTGTTTACTGAAGTAACAATAGTTCCCGTAACTGTCCTAAAAGCACAATTTAAATTGTTCCTGGATTTGCTATGCTCATTTAGAGGAGCAGTTTGTTAAAGTCAGCTTGAGTTAAAACAAATAGTTTAAATTCTGTATCCTCTTCAATTGCTAATAGATTATTTTGTGATAAGTGATTTAGGACTAAGACTAGAGTCTTATGCAATTTGAAATGGGAGACTGGGAAATTTGATGTGTGGATTTTTTGGTAGAGAGAAAACATGAAACTGCATTAGTTAATACATAACCGTCATGTTTTATGTTTAATACAGATTTTGCTTTTGTTCTGACTTGCAGGAATTTTTTCTCAAAACTAATGCATGTCTATCTACAAAAACTTATCCACAAAACTGTGCCACAAGTACAAGCTAAACTAGAAACAAGCATTTTATTCCATAAGTGTTCTAGCTCCCTACCTTAATGGGCTAAATTTTCATGTGGGTATATGTTTGGTTCTGGGAATTATTTCAGCTTTTTTTTTTTTTTTCTTAGACTTGCAAAGTACCAGATTAAACCTTGAGCTATGTAATCTTTTGTGGTATGTAATTCAGGTATATCAGTAAATCTCTAGAGAATTTGGTGCTGTTTAAACAAGTTTAGAATCTCTTTTCTCATAGACAGTTTTATGTAATGGCATCTCTTCATCTCCACTGAATATGTCTGAAGTTCTTTCCCAGCATTTACATTGCCTCTGATGCCTGGTCAGTGAAATATCACTTCTTTGATTTGTAAAAATATCAATAATTTTTTCTTATTGTATTTTTTAGGCTTTACCTATATTGAAGTAACTTGTGACAACAAAGACTAATCACAAGAATTTTAATCTGCCTATTTAAATTTGTTATGTAAATAGTAATTTCAGAAATAAACTTTTTTTGAGAAGTACACTTAATTACTCAATAATACATAGTAGTCTGAATCTACTAATTCTTACTACTCTAGCACCAGATAGGCTGAAAAAACTTCAAAATATATGCTGATGAATGCAAACTTTCTTGTTGCTGCTCTGTTCTTTTGCTCTGTGCCCTAAATGTAACTGTTCATTCAGCTCCTTTGCTACATGCTCAGCCACTGCAGTTGCTAGATGAAGATACTCTGACTTCTTACCAGTGGTGCAAGGAGGTTGTATCCACAATAGGGAGCAACCTGTTCAAGTGTTACCCAACTGATGTTATTTTTCTGGTGTTGCAAAACAAAGTAATAATCCAAATCTGTTTTGGCAATGGATTGAGCAGAGCGGCTACAGCCACATCATGGTTATTGGCAGGCTTTGAGCAGTAACACCAAGTAAAAACACAAGATTTGCAAGTGTGCATTACAACTACAAAGATAGTGTCTGAAAGCTTCAAATGACTTCACAAGGCTCAGCTGAATTGTCCTGCTGATGAAGAGAAAACCAGCAGGTTTCTCAGCTCTGTAGGACTTGTTTTGCCACATTGTTACCATTTCTGCTTTGCTGCAACATGGACGGAAACTTCTAATTTTAACAGAACAAAAATCCGACCTTAGTCTTGTTCTGCAGTTGCTGTTTGAAAAACACTTTGAAGTTTTTTTCATAATATTTCCATTATATCTGTTATAATCAGACAAAGCCATTTTTTATAAAAATATATATTTTTATTTGGGTTCAATCAATTTAGGGTGGGAAGCAATAGGCAAAGCAGTGCTGGGTGCATGGAGAGCCGCAATTCTGCCACACACACACCGAGTTCCAAAAAAGCAGCGTTTTTTATACTCTTGTGCCATCGTCTTTATCCAATCTCCTCCTGTCAGATAGTTGTCCTGCTCTTTTCCTTTGGGTCATTTGGGTTGCTGGGGTGCGTGTCCTCCTCCTATGGGGTCTTTTGACAGTCTCGAAGCCTTGGTCTCCTGGTGCGCTTTTCTCCTATTGGATCTTTCAAAAGCCTCATGATCTCATCTTTTGGGGGGGCTTTTCTTCAACCATCAGTTACGTGTCATCTCTAGGTGGGGTTTCTGAGACAGGGTTACATTGTTCCAACCGAATGGCACACTTTACATTTAATTGCTTAACATTTACAGATCATTCAAGTGTATGTACCCGCCTTGCTCAACCTAGCCAAATTAGTTATAGTTTGTTACAGTCCCGTCCCCCCCCCCCC